AGATTCTAGGGTTTACACTCAGACATCCTCCCTGGCCATCTTACCTAAATATGTCCCTCCCTAATCCCACCCACCTGTCCTGCCAGTCTTTATCACTGCACCCTGCTCATTTCCTTCAAACCCTGTCACAATTTATATGCATTTATTCTATATATTCCTGTTTTATTTGAATATTATCTATTTTCCCAACTAGATATTAAGCTTCATAATTGTTAAAACCGTGCCTATTTTATTCACCAATATATCCCCTAGCATGTAGCGCAGTGCCTGGCATGAAGTAGACATTAAATTTTTTTTTTTTAAAAAGAGTCTTGGCTGGGCTCAGTGGCTCATGCCCATAATCCCAGCACTTTGGGAGGCCAAGACAGGAGAATTACTTGAAGCTAGGAGTTCAAGACCAGCCTGAGCAACATAGTGAGACCTCATCTCTACAAAAAAATAGAAAAATTAGCCAGGTGTGATCTCATGTGCCTGTGGTCCCAGCTACTTGGGAGGCTGAGGCAGGAGATCTCTTGAGCCCAGGAGTTTGAGGTTGCTGTGAGCTATCATGATGTCACTGCACTCTAGCCCTCGCAACAGAGCAAGACTCTGTCTCAAAAAAAAGAAAAATTCTTAATTGATACACAGCAAACTCAATTCAACAGTGGTTACCCTGGGAAAGGAAAGAGGATTGAGCAAAAGGCTTTAGTTTTATCTCTAATACCCTGAATGTTTGGTGGGGTTTTTTTGTTTTTTGTTGTTGGTTTTTTTTTTTTTTTGGAGAGTTGCTCTGTAGCCCAGGCTAGAGTGCAGTGGCGTCATTATAGCTCACTGCAACCTCAAACTCCTGGGCTCAAGCAATCCTCCTGCCTTAGCCTCCCGAGTAGGTGGGACTACAAGCGTGTGCCACCACACCTGGCTAATTTTTCTGTGTTTGGTAGAGATGGGGTCTCACTCTTGTTCAGGCTGGTCTTGAACTCCTGAGCTCAAGCGATCCTCCTGCCTTGGCCTCCCAGAGTGCTAGGATTACAGGCATGAGCCACTGAGCCCAGACTAAGTATTTATTTTTAAATCAAAATGATGTGTCCACATTGTTTAAATTAAAGCCATTCTCAGATTAATTCTGTTGCTGTGAGTGTAAACACTTTTCAGGTGTACTTTTAGTGTGGGGAGAGGTGTGTATTGACATCTAGCAATATTGACATTTTTGATGGTCTATAATAGATGCTGCTGATGGGGAAACAGAAGTTGGAGAAGTACAACAAAATAAAACTGTCACTTATGATCTCTCGAAATTGGTAAACTATCCAGGTTTTAATATATCTACTCCCAGAGGAATTCCAGATGTAAGTATATTGGGGTTTTTTTTTTACTCTTGCTGGGATGTGACATTATTAGGTTAAAGATTATTCAATATGTTAACTTATGTAGCAGTTATTGTTACATAAAGAAGTAAATTTGTTACTTACATGTTTAACTTTTTAATTTCCTTTATGTTGACTAGACTCAAGTGAAATCTTGTATTCATCAAAATCATAGTCTTTTCTGGTTTTAGGCCCTAAGCAAAGGAGCTAAATAGATTGATTAGATTTTATAAATCTAAAACTATTCTGAAATTAAAAGATTTATTTAAATATGGATGGTTGTGAGACAGTATTATAAACTTTACAGAATTACTTGGGAAATAAATTTGTGTCTGTAATACATCTCGGTATGCTATGCCTCGTTTTTCTATTCTTTCTTGCCTTTTTCCCCCTCAAAATAAAATTTCTTATTCTGTATATGAATGGTTTTTCCAACTACTATTTTCTAACTTTAATCTTGTGTTTCAAGATCCAACAATTAACTATTGTGTTGTTTTAATAAAAACTATTCTTAGGACCTGGACAGCAGGGAAGAAGCCAAAGATTTGAATTTAGAATATAGTAAACAAAGTGATGAATCACACAAGATAGTGTGTAATTCATTAAGGGCTAAATTGCATGATACAAACCATCTGGGCTTCTGGAAGTGGGTCCAAGTACTGGTCTACATCAGAATCCCCTGGGGGCACTCATTAGAAATACATGTTCTTTTTTTTTT